AGAACTGCTTCTCACCTCACCTGCTAGGACCTGAATGTTTCCAGATGTCCTCGCACTTCTGCCTCCCACGCACCACTTCCCGTCCCAGCCTTCTGAATTCCGTGTGGATCCAAATGAGATTTCCACAATGGGATTAGGAAAAAAAATATAAGAAACCCTTTTAAAAAGTCTCTCCTATGCGGGCCCAGTGGCACATGCCTGGAACCCCAGCGACCAGAAAGCTGAGGCAGGAGGATTGCTGCAAGTTCAAGGCCATCCTGGGCTACATAGTGAATTCAAGGCTAGCCTGAACTACACATAGTTAGACCCTGTCTCAAAAAGACCCAAAAGAGGGGTCTCTCTTAAGCCCCAATGTCTTTTTTTGGGGGGGTGCCAGAGATCAAACTTGGGCCCTTGTGCTTATGAGGAAGGCAGTGGAGCCACTGAGCTAAATCCCCAGCCCAGCCCAAAAATGTCTTTCAGAAGAAAGTCTGACCAACAGTTTATTTTATTTATTTAATTTATTTTTGAGACAAGGTCGCACTGTGTAGCTCAGGCCAGCCTCAGATTCTCAGAGATCTTACTGCCTCAGCCTCCTGAGTGCTGGGATTATGGGCATGCACCACCACACCGGGCCCTGACCAACATTTTAAATCACAATCACCTTGTATCAAAGAACAGCATGCACATAGTTACTACATTGGGAAAAGAACATGGATTTCAGAATCATATTTCTGACATTCTCTTTTCAGCTGATTCTCCAGACGATCTGAGTAATCTTTGGTAAATTAAGTGAACTTTCTGGTTCTATTTTTCAGTTGGAAAATGGGGCGAATCAAGTGGGCTTTATACTTGAATAAATGTCAGTTAATAAACATCAGCTTCCCCTAACTTCATCCAAACTCTTCCTGCAAGGAATAGAAATACGAAGGAAATCACTAACCATTCTTGGCACATTAAATGTAGCTAGATCCTTTCAGTGAGAGACACTTGCTAATGATCATCTTAGGGGTTTCACAGCCTTTATGGACAAGGAATTGTATTATCCCCAGGAAAAAAGGTGTCTCCCAAAGAGCTCATGGATATCTGTTTTCAGATTACTTGGCGTTTACAAGTCTTTCCTTATTTATAATCATGCAGAAGGACATCTAGCAGCTTCCCAAAAAGGCTAGAAGGAGGCCACTTTTCTCCAACTGTGTGGTCCACTGCAGTCCACCTGGTTTTCCCAAGCTTTGTCTCTCAAGCTCACACTGGCAGCATTTCGGGTCTTCCCCAAGGCCTCACCAGAGCACGGTGCCCCCAGATTCCTGCAGTTCCTTGAGGTCATCTGTATTTGCTAGAGAAGTGACTGTCTCAATAAGTGAAGAGTGACGAGGGACAACTCACCGAAGTAGCTCTAGCCTGTGAGATTACAGGCCTGGCAGGTGAATGTCTTTGGGCTTGCTCTGCTCAGAGAATACGTCCAGAAGCCCTTTTCTTTCACTTTAAATTAAAAAAAAATATTTATTTATTTGAGACAGATTGTCTCCATATAGCTCAGGCTGGTTTTGAACTCACTATGCAGCCCAGGCTGGCCTCAAACTTGTGGCGATCCTCCTGCTTCAGCTTCCCGGGGCATGCACCATCAGGCCTGGTCCTCTGGAGCTCTTTTCTAGCTCAGTTCCAGCCTGAGTCCAGGATGACTAGCCATTGTGTCTAGTGGAGGCGAACAAAGGAGAAAGGCATGGCCAAACCTCGGCTGTCCCTTCTGCTGTAACTCTTTCTCGGCCTATTAAAGTAAACCTTAGAGAAATCCTGTCACCTGGCCACCCCTTGTGGATCCAGGCCCGTGAAGAGACTCTGGGAAGTACTGTTGTGGAGGTGAGCCGGGGGCAGGGAGAGGAAAGGAGGCTGCAGGGTTCAGCTTCCTGGAAGGAACTGCTTGCCTAAGCCCAAGCTGCAAGTGTCAGGGCTTAGGGTGCCTGGCATTCTCAACTGCACAGCAAACACAGCTGGCTGGAGGTTGGGTGACACAACAGGCCCTCGCATTTCCCGCTGAGTGGCACAGACTCTCAGAGATCCCAGTGACTACAGAGCCTTCAGAGGTTATCGCTGATGTAAAATCAGACTTCAGCAGTGGTAAGGAGACCAGATGGCAGCCTTGCATCCCAGGCTCAGTATGGTGTTTGCATTGTTGTGGATCCTCAGCCACGAAGACATAACTTCCTGTGGATATTGTGCAATAGTTCACGGAAGGTGCATAAAACATTCTGCAAATGCCCTTAGAGAATTAGGTAAATTTAGGGCTGGGGATTTAGCTCAGTGACACTGTGTCTGCCTTGTAGGTGCAAGGTCCTGAGTTCAATGTCCAGTACTGAAAAAAAATTTTTTGGTAAATTTAATATACATCAAAGCATGATATCGGGCATATTTAAGAGATCAAGAAATACTCGTTATAAAAGTTGTTTCTCAGGGCCAGGGATTTCGCTCAGTGGTTCTGCCACCTGCTTGAAGGACCCAAGTTCGATCCCCGGTACCACACACACACACACACACACACACACACAAAAGAACTTGTTTCTTGCCGAACAGATTTGGCTGCTTTGTAGATATAAGTATAAAGATATAAGTATATAAGATATAAGTACACAGATATAAGTATAAGAAGACAAGTTAGTATGGCATATCATTTAGTACAGTAACTGCTTGGGAGGAGAAAACAGTCCTAGATCAGTAACCACGAATTCAGCCAGTGTCCCTTAGATAGTGGCCTTGAAGGGAACGAGCGAGTTGTACCCCAAGCCTGGAGAACTACCCCGAGGTAGGCAGCAGGAGCAGCTTGCCCTCAGTGCTGTGTTCAGACACAAGCACAGACGTGTAGACAGCTGTCACGTGACCCCAGTGCCTAGCCGCCCAAACGTCATCTATGGAGAAGGCACATTGCCCAGATGGGCTAAGTCAGATGCAGAGCTGGGAGGCCTCGGTGGTGCTTCCCCGAGCTGGACTCGGCGGCGTGGAAACTGCACAGGGACTGGAGGTGCCCTCTCTTCGAGTTCGCCGCTGGGTTCTTTTCAGCAGGCCTGGCCTGGACACCAGGAAGACCCACGCAAGGGCGATTTTCCTTCTGGAATGGGCTCTGCCCCTTCAATCCAGCACTTTGGGCTAAAGAGTCCAGGCTGCCCCTCGGGCTCCCCTCAGGCCTGTGGACGGCTGTGTCCACCCGAAATCCCGCGACTGATCCTCGGCGGCTCCTCAGGGAACGGATGGGGCCTTGGTGCCACAGCCCCTGTGGGCTCCCCGGGGCTTTGCAGGCCGGCTGCCTCTGCACCCCGCAAGGGGGGCGGGGAAGGCCAGGGAGCGTGCTTGGGCCCAGTGGCTGTGCGGAAGACCCAGAGAGTGAGAACTGCCTGCGATTCCGTCGTCTTGCCTCAGCCTCCAGAGTTCTGGGATTGCAGGCCTGCGCCTCCACCCTCCGCGCTGGGGGGCTTGGAAATTCAGCCGTGCTTAGACCGATAGTCCTGGGGTTCCCAGCCAGCCCTCTGCGACGGGGCTGACGCCCACTGCCAGCCGTCCGCCTGTCCCCGCGTGGCCCTGCTCGGTCCTCCCACCGAGCAGAGAGAAGCGCAGGCCCTCCGCTCTCTGCTTACTTCTTTAATTCACCGCTGTAGCCTGGGACCCGCGTGTGTGGTCCCGCGCCCCGGCTGGG